AAAACTCTGCAAAGTTATTCGATTTTAGGCCTGAAGATTACTTTTTCCCGTAGGATTTTGTGACAGTAATGAATAAATAGGAAATCAATTTCTTTACAGCTTATTTTGAAAATACTGTATTGGAAAATCATGCACTTTACCAGTACAGTACTGGTCTGTAGTTAAAACCTGCTTCAAATGATTACTGTGAAATATGAAAAAGAAAGTAATGAAATGTGTGTATTTAAATCTTTTCTAGCTAAAAAGAAGAAGAAGCCAAAACTCTTAAACAAGTTTGATAAGACCATTAAAGCTGAACTAGATGCTGCAGAAAAATTACGTAAAAAAGTAAGTTTTGAATGTTTTGTTCGGAATTGTAGATTGTAACCAAATTAATATGTATGAACATTCACTTGGAAACAGGGAGTACTTTTTGATTTCCTTTTCTGAAATTAACTGTTTTAAAATTAAATATCCAGGGCACATTTGTACTTCCATTTTCACTTCTGTCTGGTAGTTTGTTGTTGTTTTGTTTTTTTAATCTTGACTCTACAATCATTCATGTCCATTAGTTCATCTTTAACCTTGAAAGTTTGTACCTTAACTGAAATTCCAGAGGAGAAGTGTATTTCTTTTTTTCTAAGTATTTGTATGGTGCTTAATGCAGCACTGTGTGCTATCCAACAGAATAACTCTAACTGTTCAACTCCTGGTCTTCCTGTGTGAGAGAAACTGGTATTGAGGCCATCAAAAAAGTGCTTAAATCAATTATGTGGAGCAGGGTTATATCTGTCATATCAACCATGACGTGCAGTCCCCCCAGAAAAGCTCTTGTCCATTTGAGATTGGTAGTCAGCTATTATAAAGGAACTTAGAATTATGCAAGTGTGTTAATATGGATCTGTCTGTAAGTGTTCATGTACTTCATGAGCAGTAGCTGCAAAGGTGTTTCTGCTGCGATCCTGCCTGCCTCTCAAGAGTCTTTCTGCTCCCATGAACTTCTCAGAGGATGAAACCGGCATTCGTGCTTTTCACCAAGGGCAATCCCTTTCAGTGATCTTGAATGTAATACTTTTGGCTCTGGAAAATGAAAACAAAACCCCCTCCTCATATGTCTTCTGTGATAGCTTCCAATTTTATTCCTTTTATTTATAAATTTCAGAAAAAAAAAAAAAGACCGTGTCAATGATGCCTCTTTACCAAATGTCACATTGCATAGTGAAGCAAAACTATTTGCTTGACTGTTAGAAATGAAACTCCTTAAGCTTTTTGGGTATAAACCTTGTAGAACACTGCTATGCCTCACAGACAGTCCTAGCACACAGAGAAGAACTGCAGGTCTGCCCTAGATTTAAGAGGGCTGAATGTACCACGTACAGTACGGTGTAAAAAAAAAAAAAAAAAAAAAAAAAACTCTGCAGGAATAGCAGTTTTCATATTTTCTTAATTTTCAGAAGATTTTTAACTGTGCATGTTTAGGTTTATATTGCCATCCATGCAGCCTCAGAGTTTCTATAGGTCTACGCTTGTCCTAGACTGTTTCTGATGCTTCTTTTCTGTAGAAGCTTTTTTTTGATGTGGTAGAAAATGCGCTTTGATACTCAACTGCTACTTAAACAGTTGATTGATCAGACTGAGACATAGCAGAAAATTCTGATGTTCCTATAACATCAGCTGACTGATTTCCCATCTGTGTCTCTTGGTGAACTGCAAGCAGTCATGGCTTTCTTGTAGGAAGTAGGAAAAGCTTAGTAGCAAACCAGATGCATGTGATATTTATTTGAAGATAGGAAGACACTTGTGTATAATAACTGACTCATATTTATACAGCTGTAAGTGTTGGATGTGGCTGCAGGATTGGATGCCAAGTATTGTAGAGCAGTGCTTAGCTCCTATTTAACAGAGCTGCTGGTTCTTCTCAGCTTCCATCCTTGTTTGCTAATCAGTATCAATCATGAGAAGAAGATGCAGAGAATATGTGAAGGTCTGAGGAACATAATAATTATTCTGAAAATTCAGAGAAAGGATTCATATATTTACAAATGGTTCAGTCCTTCCAAGAGTCACAGTTACTATACAGCTGGTCATATGCAGAGATGAAATTTCTAGTTATGTATAGAACTTTATTATTGTTCGATATGTTACATTCCAATTTGTGATATCTGTATAGTCTTTACTGTACATTTTGGTATAGTAAAGTGATAGTCATCTCAGTATTTTGTTTTTACAGTCAACAAAGGAAAAGTGAGTAAAAAAAACAAAACTATTAATTTTTATTGTAGGAAATGGATGTATTGTTTCATGACAAATCACAATAAATTTCTCACAAGTAAGCAGCAAAATTAAACAAATATGTGAGTGAAACCTGTTGATTTGCGATCTGGATTTTTTATATTTTTGTTTCTAATTAGAAATAACTAATATTATATTATGCCATTTTTGTGCAAATAAAATCTCTGTCTTCCAGGGAAAAGTTGAAGAGGCTTTAAGGGCCTTTGAAGCATTAGTGAATCAGTACCCACAGAGTCCACGAGCAAGATATGGAAAAGCACAGGTACTCAAAAAAGTGACAAATTTTAAAATAAAATAAATAAGATAAGCATGTGTTAACAGTGAAATTATAGAAATGGACAGACTTCATTTATAATTTTGCAGACATTTTCTAAAAAAAAAATAGTTGATCTGTGAAATTGTATACGTTTCTGTCGTCCTTACTTCCTCAGGTACTTTGTCTTGCTTTAGTGTAGCTTTAGTCTAGAGGCGTGAAGGGTAAATAGCACAAAAAGATGTATAGTCCCTACAGTTTTCATGCAAACTGGGAATGGGAAGAGAGAAACTCAGCTGATGCCCTACTGATTGACAGGCAGAACTTAGTCATTGCATGCTGGTTGCTGCAGCTGGCAAATCAACACATGTCAGTCTACTCTGTGCTAACTGCTTCTTTTTGCTTAGTGAGGAATATCAAGAGGGATACAGGAAGGGCAAGAGATTTTCAGTTTGTAAAGGGAGACTGTTAAAGGATAAAGAATGCAAATTTGTAGTCAAGGAAGCTTAATTAGTTCTTTTGCTTGTGGAGTAAGCTTTTCTGTTGTAGATATTGCCCTCCAGAAAAAGAAAGCAATGGAAAATAAACCCTACGTTCATAACAACTTATGCCGTTTTGCAGTGTCTCAGAAGATAAGGCTTGTATTTTTATAAATGGTAGGACTATCCCACTCAACTGTTTTTAATAAAAGCCTGTTTGAACTCAGTTTCATCCAGATGAACAAAGTGAAATCTTCACAGGGCAGGGGAATTGTGTTGTTACCCAATTAATGAGGTGTTTGGATAGGAGTCGCAACCACTTTGCACTTGGTGGATTATAGACACGCTAAAATCACAGCCGCAGTTATCTGCAAACTTACCACAAAAGCTCTTGATACGCAGTAGGCTGATCCTTTAATGCTGTCTGCAAGGGATAGTCTGCTGAACTCTTTACCCTCTTACACTGGCAGAAAACGTAACTTTGCATGTATGTTGAGCACAGTTTTCTGTTAAATTATGCATTTAATACTTACCTCTATTATGAATCCATGGTTATATATAAGAGAATACTCTTCCTGTCTCCTCATTAGCTCACTGACTTTACGGAGGAAGGCAAATAATTCAAGCCATGCTTCTTCCCACTTAGAATTCTTCCCAGTGACCCAACTTACTTGCTGCTTTACAATAATCTGTAATCATTATACACTACCTTAGCAATGCTTAGAGGAGCTACAGACCAAGATCTAGACTGATAATTAGCATACAGTTATTGGGAATATGTAAAAACAGTTACAAATTTATTTCCATTTTCAGTGGTCTTTGTACGCTCTCGTTAATGTGTGACACTTTTTATGGAACAGCCACGTTAGCATGACTGATGGCACTTTTATTGGATCAAGTCTGTCTTAGATGAAGCTGTTTGCAAACAATGGGAAATTTACTGACAGATGGATTAGGATTTACATTGGAAGGCACTTTTGCTTTTAAAGAAGTATTTATACCAACAAAGTGCATTCACATCACTATCAATAAAACTGCAGAGAGGGGTAAGACTAAAACTCAGGATACTTTTGCTTTTAAAGAAGTATTTATACTAACAAAGTGCATTCACATTTGCCACAAGAGTGTATGCTCCCCTTCCCTATGAAGCGCAAGCCAACACTGCATGATAATTTTGTAGATTCTACTTTCATTAAGATGTGAGGATTAATTTTCTTGTTCTGCAAATAACTTGTTTTCTCCAAAGTTCAGCAAGAGATTTTTTTTTTCTCCAAAAATCTCAGCAATTCCCGATTTGAATTCTGGAGTTAAGGAGCTATCCTTAGATGTCAAAACTATTCAACAGAAATAGCATCTTTAAGGGTGAGAAGAACGGTAGACAAGAGAGATCTTATCCTTATGGATAATATATAATTTGTAGCATCTATATTGATGAAATTAATCAGTTCTGATTTCTTTGCCTCTTTCTTATATACCTCTTACTATCCTCTACCCTGCAACTTCCTCAAAAAAGGGAAGAGCAAACTTACTAGTGAATATTAATCAGAAAAATAAATAATCTTTTAAAATTGATTTCTGAATTTATCTCTGAAAACCACATATTGACCCTGACTTGCAGTTGATCTCAGCCAATTGGGGCTGAATAAGTATACTATTGGATATTTTCCATATTCAATTTCAAAACAGCAGAACACGTCGCTGAATATAGAGAAGCCTGGGGAAAAAAAATGATTAAATTATTTTTATAAATGGATTAATTGATAAGACAATGAATTTCAATTGACCAGTGTGTATTACCACTGATGAGGTGTTTGTGATGCATCTACACTTTGCTCTGCTAATTGGCTTAGGAAGATCAAAGAAGATTAAGAAAATCATAAAAAAAAAAGATTCAAAAATTCAGCGTATGACACAGTCTTTTTTTTTTTTTTCCTCAGAAGTTGAAACATTATCAGAATGCCCTGCCACTGGCGAAATCAGTAGTAGTTGCTACTTGGTTCACTGAACCTGTAATTTCACAGCAAAGGTCTTATACTTTATTTGGTATCTGCTCTTGAACTTGATGAATGAATTAAAGTTCTTGAAGCATTATGTGCGTAAAACTAAAATCTGGTTCAGGAAAGTTTTTGTGCGAAATCATGCATGAATATCAGAAAAAAAATGTTTATGTGTTTAAATTTATATCTTGCTATGGGCATAAAGGTTGGTACACGAATAATGCATACACTTTTTTTTTTTTACATATTATAAAAGAGATTATTTAATTTTAAAAGCATAAATTCTGACCTCCACAAATATTACTAAAAATATTTGATAATATTTGTACTACTGATGCTGTGTGCTTTAGATACAAATTTTCTCATATTTATGCTTTCAGTTTGCAGAGAGCAAGATTTAGCCACCTTTTCCTAAAGCACAACCAACTAGCCTTTCCTTGTTCTTTCAAAATTGTAAAGATTAAAGATAGTTTGAAAATAATCCTATGACCAAAACATTACAAAGTTTTCCATTAGAGAAAATAAGATTAATTCAAAACAGTAGGTTATTAAGTATTCTAATAATGATTTTGTGATTCCACCTAGTCTGAAGATGACTTAGCTGAGAAAATGCGAAGTAATGAGATGTTGCAGCAAGCCATCAACACCTATGATGAGGTGGCCAGTCTACCAAATGTCCCTTCAGATCTGATGAAACTGAGCTTGAAACGAGAAGCAGACAGACAGCAATTTCTTGGTAAGATCTGAGCCTGGGTTAAAATTGCGAAAGATGTGTGAACAAGACTTTAGAAGATCGGGAATGACTTAAAAGCATCTTGAATTTTCAGTAGAATATAGATTTCTAATTTGTTAAAGACATATGAAGAATTTTTTTTTAATATAATGTTGAACTGATATTTACAATTTTCTGAATGCCAACAGAGCCTTCAGATAATTATGCAGTACCTGCTATGAGTAGCTATGGTTAAATTGGTTTAAGATGCTCCCAAAAGATCTTTTTGACAGAGAAAAGAGATTTTTTTTTTTAATGAAGAAGACTTATGGGGACATTAATGTCCTACATAAGGTCAGAATAGAATGGAATTGAACGTAGGAGTTGATGTTTCATCTTGCAAAGTTTTCCTTGTGTTGGTGTTTTGGAAAGTTTTGTTTTTGAAAAGAAGATGTATAGATAATATAGAGTATAACAATGCACACATAGTAAATGTTTTGTAAAATCTATGTGAAAGGTGTTAACATACTATTATAAAATTGTAATTTTAAAGTATACCTTTGTCAGAAGAAACCATATGTTTGTTATTACTCCTAATTTTCTGTCAATGTTATTTGTTTAATTAACTGAATCTATTCCATTCCCTTCCAGACTGAGTTACCAGTAGGAACAACTTTGGTAGATATTAGACATAAGCCTAAGATAGCCATGTGAATTGCAAAGCATCCTGTAACTACTCAGCTGATATTCATGATCCTATTTAAAAAAAGAAAAGAAAAGAAAAGAAAAAAAGAAAAAAAGTAAAATAGCTAAATGATCAGCCAATAGATTTATTTAAATAATAATAATAATAAGGCAGACAGTCACTTAACTGCAGATCTGTATTCATTAATTTAGGAAACACTCTTTTGAAGCACTGGTATAGTGGCCCTTTACACAACTTTTGCGTTTATCTGTCCTTTGCTTTTTTGAAATTTGCCTGTTAAACTGATAGGTGAATTTCATGATTTTCTGAAGCTGATATATATATCAGCTCCTATATTTAACTTATACCACTGCCTTAAGCAACAGTAGAAGCCTCAAAGGAAGGCGAAAAACAAAGTAGTAAAAAGGAATAGAAACATCTGAAGATTTAGATCTCAAACCTGAGATGTACAAGAATTGTGGTTACTATATTGAAACACAGCCAAGTTAGGTGAAGAAAAGAGTTCTAATAGCATGAGCTGGATTTTAAGATCAGCTTGTTTTGACCTTACTATGCTTCAGCAAGACCTTTTCTAAGACGCCAGTGTGCACAATTTTAAGTATATAAAACATATTTATTTTCACTGGAACTGTTTCTTGATTGTAACATGTGCTTAATAATTTAATTAATTGAGAAGTAAGTTCATTTTAAAGCATTACTGTTTTTGCTAAGCAATTTTACATCTACAAATGAAAGAGTTACCAAAGTTTAAAAAATATTTGTTACTGCTACACTGTGAACAATTTTCCACTAGAGGCTCCCATAACACTGCTTGATATGTATTCTTAGTGATTTCCTGAGTTATTCCTCATAACACTACACCCCATGTGACATTTTAGCAGTTGAATATTCTCATATTTGCATAAATCTATTCTCAGGTTCTGCATGCACAGTGATCATTAGTGAAAGTGAAATATCTGGGTGCAATTTGTATTTTCTTAGACTGTGTACTAGATAAGCGTGTTATGTGAGTTATTATTGTTACTCATATCCATATCTTTATCTAGGTCGCATGAGAGGTTCTCTGATTACTCTGCAGAAATTAGTTCAACTGTTCCCCAGTGACACTTCCTTGAAGAATGACCTTGGAGTTGGTTACCTCTTGATGGGAGATAATAGCAATGCCAAGAAAGTATATGAAGAGGTGAGCTCCCATTTCAACTGAGAAAAAAATGCTTTACTTGAATATGTTCATTCAGAGTGTGGCCTATTTTAACTTTTCAGTAGTTTAGCAAGTTGCGTGTCTGTATCTTTTGCCTCATCTTTCTGTTTCCAGAATTGTAATATTTTGGCTTGACCATAGTCACTAATTTTCTGCTCTTAGAAGGCAGTAGGTTTTAATTTCTCTGCTGTCTACTATAATTAAAAAAAAAAAAAAAGTCACTGGAAATGATGAGAGACAAACAATAGTAACTGCACTTTACATTAACTACTACCCATGTATGGACAATTATCTATATTGTTTCTCTTTTTTTTTTTTTCTTTTGTTTGACCTGATTTCAACTCTGTGGAATTTTCCTTTTAGAAATGGCAATTCAGAGGATTGAGATTATTCCAGTTTTGACAAGTTTGAATACTATTAGTGTCATTTGCTGTTGCAGATAAAACAGTGCTTTTGACTTCATACCATCTGATAAGCTGTTATAATATATTTTTTATTCCCAAAATCTTTAATGTGAACAGTTCTTTTGGTTGCAGAAAGGGTGTCTGAACGCTGACCTTCAGTTCAAGAGAGTTTTGTATTTAGAGTGCCGTGCAGTGTATTTAGAGTGCAGTGTAGTTTGTTCTGATTCAAAATATAGTCTCTGTTCTTGTGTGCATTTATCAGACTCTCTGCTGGACCATGTCCATTTGAAAGGATTTCAATTTTTCCTAATATTAAAGTTCTTTCTTTTGAAGATTTTACTAGAGAAGCATAGTGTTAAAAGTAGTCCTAACTGAACTATAGCTATTTTTACTTTCAAAGATCTACATGCCATGATAAAATATTGTGGAAGAGATCTTCATTTGGAGAATAAGTGTACTTATAACATTTTTTTCTACCTGCCATTCTGTCTGAATGGCTTAACGCAATGTTGTACAGTCAGCCCTGGTTGAACTATCTCAGGTACAAGAAGCAAAATAGCCACATTAGCATAGTACTCTGCCCTGGCTAATTAGCCATAGATAGCCCCAGAGGTTAATTTCTGTATTCATGATTAATATTTAATAGGCTATGAACAGTTTAGTAAAACTTATTTCTAAACATAATTAATATTGTATGCAGCAACAGCAACAGAGTAATACAATTGTCATTAAATACTTCCAGTGTAATTTCTACTGATTGTATCTCTTCACTTCTCTTTAGGGGCTCTGAATGTAGATCATGCCTTAATGCAAGTTGGCACAGTTTAAATGAACTGTGATATGGGAAATTCTATTCTGTCTTAATTAATCAGATAACTTTGTCCTATAGTTAAAGGAACTGTAACAAAATTATATGGCTAATAAATATTTCTGTCAGTCATTTCATTTGACCCTGCAGGTACAGCTTCTTTGAACAGAATTATTATATATAGAATTTCAATAACGTTCAAATGACTTAGCCAAAAAGCATGTAAAAGTATGAAGAAGGTGGTGCCATATTTTCTTCTATTAGTGACCAAGTACATTGTTGCTATAAATTGCCACGTTCACTCTTTGCTCATGATGTGGCATTTTATAGACTTAGGATAGATTCTCAACTTTATTGTTCTTTCAGTAGGAATTTCTACCTGCAAAAAGAGGTTCAATGCTGCTACTTTTAACTTGTAGCATTTTACACTCACATTGCAGTGATTTGTGTAATTTGTGTGTAAGGTTTGAAAAAGAAGAGAAATTGGCCCAGAGGACTTGTTATGGTTTTGCTCCTAACTGCTTTGAGGAATCAGGTTAGACAATGACTGGAAAAGGCAGAGATAAAATGCTATAATGTATATTGACATTTTATGCAAGGTATAGGTTTTGTATTGTCAGAAATGTATTTGGAAAAAAAAATACTCCTTGTCTTGTATTTGCTGATTGTGATAGACTCTCAGCTGGTATCAGCCTCTGTAATTCCAGTGAATTCCAGGCACCTGTGTTGATCTTCACATGCTAAGAATCCCTGCTGATCATCTGTCTACCCTTATCTTAAAGAGAGAGGACATGTATCCAGCAGATTAGCTTGGCTGTGTAATTTATACTGCATGGTGCTACAAATGATATTAAATCATAGAAATTTCAGATTTTTAGTAGATCAGGTCATTCTCTATTTTTTCCCTTAATTGAAGCAGATGTAAATTATCCCAGTAGTGTTGGGGGTACCTGTGTCAGAACTCAGGCCAACTAGTGTCACCTTTACCATGCAGTGATCCTCTTCTACAGCTGCCCACAAACTGTGACCTAGCACAGGCTCCCTGCAGTATCCATCTGTGCCTAAGTAAGATTTGATTTCCCTTTTGCATATGGATTTTCCTTTCTTGCGGAATTAATTAAGTCAGGATTTAGACACTACTCCTAAATCCTGTTAAGAGTATACATTTTTAGCTTAGTTTGGTACCCTATGTCTTGGCCTATCAAAAAGGTGCACTACTGGACATACAATTATAATTTGTCCCTCCTCTTCTAGTGTGAGAACCATGAGATCTGCCCATCGTGCTCCTAGGATTTGCACTGCCCTGTCTTGTGATGCTGCAAGGTTTCTTTACAGCATGTTTCTAAACTGCAGCCACAGTGCTTCTCAGCAAGGGGTATTCTCTGTTGCCAAAACTGGTTTGTCACTAGTATAAACCTATTTAATGTTAACTTCTTCAGAGAGACACTTCTTTCTTTCAAACTATTCAAGTCTACGATGTGTAACTGAAGTGTTAATAAGAGCTTCACTTCCTAAGTGGAGCATACTGTAACACAAGAGAGAAGGCGGAAAAAGAGGGACAAGAAGAAAGTAATGCAACTGCTAAATTCCAAACAAGTTAATTTTATTTTTGAAACTTTGAAGTTTAGCTTGTAATAGCTTGTTCTGAAGAGGAACAAAAGCAAATGGGAAAAAGTACAGCCAAGCCAAGCATTTATCTGAAAATTAGTGATAGGAGAAAATTTCATTGAATCACTGCATAATAAGTATGTATGCAGGTTGTTAATTTGCCATGAACAGTCGCATTTTGAAAGTAGATCATGCATTAATATGTAATTCATTTGCTTTCCTACAGGTTCTAAGTCTCGCTCCAAATGATGGCTTTGCCAAAGTACATTATGGCTTTCTCCTGAAGGCAGAAAACAAGATAGCAGAAAGCATTCCCCTTCTCTAAAGGTATGTTCTGAATTCAAGCATATCTTTTACTAATAGTAAACTCGTATCACAATGTATAAAATTATGGTAGGAAGTATCAAGCTAGAAACATGCTAATACCAAATCACAGCTTAAATTTCATACTGGAAATATACTGGAATTATATTTTTACACCACCACCAATGAACTAGAACAAGCTTGTACATTGAGGTTCTTCAATTTCTAAACACTTTTATTGGTGGTTAATGGAATAACTGTAGGTAGACATCTCTGAGTTTCTTATTGCTTTGAGATTGACAATATGCTGTAAACTTACAGTTCTTGAAGGATTCAAATAGGGAACAAGTATGTTCTGAGTGTTTGGGAAGAGAAACTGTAAAATGAAGCCCTAATTTACGGTATCCAGCTCTCTCAAAATGCCTGGGTATACAGTGGAATATGGAGTGGTGTGTTTATGACACGTCGATCTCTGCACAGATACCTGTCTTGCAGTAAGAGGACGTGGGATCTGAAAAAAGACACCATTTCTCAAGGGCTTTTTGAACGAGGGCTTATATTCATTCAAACTTAAGTTCCAGATTACCATGGTAGTTATATCTCATAGCCAGTTTTATAGCTTATCTCTTGCATAGAATTGCCAGCATATTTACAGCAATCAGCTGTAAGAGGACGTGGGATCTGAAAAAAGATACCATTTCTCCAGGGCTTTTTGAACAAGGGCTTCTATTCATTCAAACTAAGTTCCAGATTACGATGGTGGTTATATCTCATAGCCAGTTTTTTAGCTTATCTCTTGCTTAGAATTGCCAGCGTATTTACAGCAATCAGCCTTTAAAAGATATACTGGATTTCCTCTTATCCTTTCTTTAGGAAGGACTAGAGTCTGGTGATCCTGGCACAGATGATGGACGCTTTTATTTTCATCTAGGTGATGCCTTGCAGAGAATAGGAGACAAAGAGGTACATGTTTAACTCATCCTTTAAAGTTTAGACTTGCAAGAGACTGCATAATCTAGCAAAACATTTAAGCATGGCCTTAAAAGTTGAAAATGTTGAAAATATATGTTCAAATTTCCCATTTCTACCACTTTCTATAAAGATCTTTCCCACCAGAGAAAAATACAATGATACAATATTACTTTATATGAAAGTTCTGTTATAGCTCTGATATAACGTTGTTTTACAAACCTCACTTCTTTCCCAAAGTGCCTTAGCAGCACAATTATGTATGTCATAGAAGACCATGAGAAACCTGCATGTGGGACCTGGGTTACTGGACTTGTTCATACATTAAATTAACAAACAGATCAGAAAAGTAGAAATTTGTGCATCAGATTTGTTGTATACCCAACAAACACAAACATACTGGAAGCCATAAGAGTTTATAATCTGTTAATTTAGTAAAACCAAACTTAAATGTGTAAATTAGCCTAATTGTAATGAAGAGAGGGAGAGAGCTAATGATATTTACTGAAAACTGTTATTGGTAATGAACTTTACTATGTTATCAATTTAAAAAAGATTCCCAGGTGGCAAATATGGAGAGAAGAAAAAATAAGAAAATGTAGTGGAGAGAGATATGAAAATCATTACTTTTTAATTAGTTATATAGTAGTACACATGAATTATTGATAGTTAAAATTCTGTAAGGAATGCTGACCTCAGGAGTGTCAGTAGATGATCCTCCAATATAAAAAATAGACCAGTGAACTAAAATAAAGCATATGTTTAGGATCTTTAGACTAGGTCATCAGATCTTAATTTACTTTATAAAAAAAATACATGACTCTTGTTACAATACATTATATACACAGTAGGGCTAGAGTTTTGGAATGTAATAAAATATCTTTTTTTTTTTTTTAAGTCAGGTTATTATCTCTGAAAGTATTCTTCCAAAGGTGTTTCTTGTTGTTTCTTTGTTTGTTTTGCAATTATTTACAAGTAGCTTAATTTTACAATTACATACATATATGCACACATACAGACGCGCATGCAAACACACAAACATTCTGTCTAAGTTTGGCTGTCTGTTTCAGAGCAGAAAATGAAAATCTCTTTATGCTTCCTCAGGTTGAATGACTAAGCCTAGAGCATCCCATTACAATGTGTGACTAAAGTTCCTGCACAGACATAATTAACGTACACCATCCCAAATCCCCAGGATAATTATGTATTAATGTTTATGGAGTTAATGGTCAAATCTTCTGTAGAAAAAAGCTTTAATCAATGACAAGTGAACTTGTTTGGGCAGAAGAGACTCTTAAATTTATCTGTGGAAAGTCCACTCTCAGCTACATTTATCTTACTGACCTTGCTTGACTTGCTGAACTTCAAGATTTAATCAAGGAGACAGATCAATATTTAAGGAACATGTTGAAACTGCTATCACCAAAGGTTCATTGAAGGTAGATATTCATCTATTAGAGGTAAATGAGGAATTAAAAATGTGATTGACAAAATGGAAATACTGTTAAATAATTCAATAGAATGTCAAAATGCCAAAAAAAGAAGAAAAAAAAGTGAAAGGCATTATAGAATTAGCAAAGTCTTGTTCACATGGAGTATGTAAACTCTCAGACAAATTATTTCTTGAAAAGAATGTGTATGGTTGTAGCTGTCTTGGATAGTACAGTGGTCATTATTTATTCTTTCAATTTCTAAGATCTCCTTGCAAAAGGAATGGTTTCAAATAGAAATTCAGGACTGGAAATATTTGAGGTAATAATGCAACAATTTAGATCCACAAAGCCCATACTGTGTTTTCATCATCTCAGCATTTCTTTTGGTACCAGAAGACAGTCATCTTTAATCTATACGTAGAGAACTGAATCATAAAGAAAATAAGTCTGACCAAGATTATACAGGATTGGATCTTCTGAACCCTGGGATAGAGGATCTCAGGATCAGTTTTTGATGTGAATGATTCTGCGGGAATTACCCTATTTCGTTGATGCTGGATTGCCTTGGCTGACTTTATCTAATATATTTCATGGGTTTTTTTGTTTGTTTGTTTTGTTTTGTTTTGTTTTCTTAAAGAGCTTATTAATACACACTGTATTAGGAGAATATCACTGCATGCAAAGGGCCTGTTCATTTCCCAAATGAGTATAAGCTATTATTTTTTACTGAAGTTTGAATGATATGGGTTGGTAACAACTGCAATCTTTTAGGCATACAAATGGTATGAACTTGGATACCAAAGAGGTCACTTCGCATCTGTGTGGCAGCGCTCCCTTTACAATGTCAAGGGACTTAAAGCTCAACCTTGGTGGACAGCAAAGGAAACTGGTTATACAGAGCTGGTGAAGGTGAGGAGTTTGTTCCATTTTACTTTTATATTTATTTTTTAATGACAACTATAATATCTTAACCAGAGAAAATGCTGAGAAATCTCTTTAATGCATGATTCATGATAAGAGAGTACAAGGCACTAAATCTAGACTGGCATTACTCAACATTTAAGTAAGATACTTAAATAAGATGAGCTCAAGGTGTTTTAAAAATTGAGGATGGGGAAATGTAAATACAAAATTTACATGTTGGACCACTGTAGTGTTTCAAGTATAAAAGGACAAAAATCCCTGGTGGTGGCCGGGACCCCCACTGTTAGTCAAGAAAGGATGTGAAAGGATGTGTCCTTCATTCCTTGTGTAAAACTCAGTGACTTCTTTGGGTGCTTTTCATTGAATAAAAGAAATAGGTTTAGACTCCAAGTGACAAAAAGAGCAAAAGAAGACAAGGTTATATTCCTTCAAAATTTTTGTTTATTTTTTTAATGTAATGCAAGACATATAATTGGTTATTACTTACTGTAATAATTTATGTTCCAAAATTGTGCAAAATTTTATTAAAAAAAGGCAGAAATTTCAAGGCAGATCTTTATTAATTCCTTAATAAAAAGTGAGATAAGTGCCTTTTTGTGTACATTTTGGTTATTGATATGTGGCTCCATACAAATAATTAAAAACACGAACACTTACTGACAAAAAACATGGGCCATATTGAGTTTGTCCATTTGTTTACATATCTATTATTTTGGATATATTAAGCTTACAGTTTTCAGAATAACCTTAACAATTAAAGATATAAATCCAAAATATAATATAAATGGATCAGAACAATAATATTTGTATTGCCATGTTTCCCCTATGACTCAAAACAGTATTTGAATCTTTGAAAGAAAGAAAGCTCATTTCTAATAAAGTAATAGGCTGCAAGCAAAATTTGAGGTAGCATTCTCTAGAGTGACAACAAAGCCACTGAAGACATCTGTTTTATTAATTTCCATAATATTCTGGCTTCTGTACATATTTTAGTTGGAAAAAAAAAAAAAAAAACTTATTTTCTCATTGCACAGAGCAAAACCCAATCATCAGTTGTTCTTTTTTTGTGGTTGTTTTTTTTGCTTTATCCCATTATATACATCTAACATCTGTACAGAATGTAGGGGAAATGCTACCAAATCAGAACTATGGAATATATGAATTTGTCATTGAAATGGCTATGCGAAGAATGAAACAACAGAGTCTCTGACTCTCTCTGTTTCGCTACTTATTGTTAAATGTGAGCAAATTATTTTCAGTATCTTCTTAGTTTAACAATGTTTACTGAGAATTTATGCTAAACTAAAACAATGCCAACTCCAGATTCCCTAACATACTGACAGCTACTTTTGTTCATTGTATTATCCAGGACATCTGTGGTGAGCCATGTTCCACACAGTGACATGCTATAGCACAAAACTAACTTGATTTTTTTGTTAAAGGGTCATGTATTTTCTTGGTTTTGGATATAGAGATGTGAATTTGAGCAGTGACTTGTTTTCTCTAGATGGAAACCCAAGAAAAACTTTTTTTTTTTTTTTTTTTTCAGTACTACCAGTCTCATAAAGTTCTTCTAGGGGAGATTCTCCTTACCTAACTGTAGTCATATTATTTGTACTAAGTGTCTAGGTTATACGTCAGTTTAAAAAAAAGAAATTATTTCCAGAGAGTGATTCATCCCTAATATGTTAGGATAGATAACTGTCTTAGGATGGCATACGATGAAAAAGGGCTCTTTTTTTTTTTTTCCTCTCTAGCTGCTGCTTAAGTTTTGGAGTTTCCTTGAAATAATGGGAAAGAGCCCCTGATTTCTGAGGGAGCAGAAAATATAAACCTTCAACTGTGTGTTAAGTGACTCATGTCAAGCATGCTGTAGGCTTTGGATCTGGAGATTCAAGAAACTCTTGTTTGAGCTCAGTTCCCCTTATCTTTGAATACCTATGGTCTTCTGTTGGTGCAATTAATTTTCCTCTGGCAATCTTACTGATGCATTGCATCATGTCTGTCGTCTCTTGTAGAACTTCAGTACAATATTATCTTTACCATTCTAGTGCTCAGTAAAAGAAAAGAAAAAAGAAAGTACATTATTAGATCCTAAAAAAGTTTTACAGCTCTGAAATGAATATATAGTGACCTAGCTAACAGTGTCCTTTCCACATACTGCATCTTCGACTTTTGGAAAAGATCCAGGTGATGCTTTGCCAACAATGTTCTACAGTGAATAGCTGCTTGATTAAAGTAGGTCTTGCATTGTCAGTTTTCTCTGATGACTTAGATTTTATTAATTAAAAGTTTCAAAAGGGCTCTTAACATCACAGAAAGAACATCACAGAAAGAAAATGAAAGTACTGGCAAGCACACATATCCATACGGTTTGCTGCAGAGTGACAGCTAGGGCTCAGTGGTTTAGCCAAAAAAATGCTAAACATTAAAATTTAATGGAGAAATTAAATTGAAATGTGTGTCTAACTGAAATGTCTTAAAGCGTGCCTGGATGTTTTAGGGGGAGCCTTGTGTTGAAAAGAGCAAGTATTGAGCATGCACTGTTGTCATCTTGCAGATATAGAAAATCTGTGAGTGACCAAATGAGTGAGGGGTCCATTTTGGAGGTGGCTGTTCTCCAGCTGAGGCACTCTAACAGTGCACAAAGGCTTTCCTATTCTCTTTCAGTGGCAAAGTGAAATGGGTTCAAGCCGTCACCATTGTTTTATTTGATAGTCCCATGGATTAAAATGCACGTGTGGCCAGCCAGCACGCCTCGCATGAGCTGTAGTGCCTATTAATATATGGCTGCACCAGTTAGCACCTTTCCCTGGAAAAGGTTTGACATCACAGACTAGGCATTTTTAATACAATACAATTGCACATAACACTAAATCAATATTTTAAAAAAATCCATATTTAAATAGAGTAATATTTTTTCCAATCAAATCTAGAGTATTGCCAGATAGATATAAAGCAACTGTAAACTTCCCTTGTCATTAGAAATTGTATTAAAAAGCTATATGGCAGCTTATGGGAATCAGCTGTTGGGAAATAATTACATATGTTCTAAATGCCCTTCATTTGCCACCAAAATCTTCACTTGAAAATTACCTTTTGAATATTGTAACAAATAGAATATGAATTTGCTGTTCTTAACCCGAGACTTGAATCTTCACATGTTATGGAGAATGATCGTATTTAACCTTTTTTTCTGTAGTGTTTGACTCAAGAGCCTTAAGCCCATCAAGAGCGTTAAGCCTGTTATATCTTAATGGTATTATGCTTTCTTAGCGTCCAATATGCGCATTATGAGTCTGTGAAATCAGGGAGATCAAGGCCGCAGTGCGTTTGAACTCCTGTAACTCTTCCCTTCCCTTGTACTTAGGAAGTCATGTTTGCTGCATACGCCTTGTAGTAAAGCATTCCTGTTTGCCTCAAAGACAGGGACTGGATTCCCAAGAGTACGGAAGCACTATTGATTTCACTGGCAATTATATCCAAAACCATTGAGGAGTTAGGTCAATATCAATGATATTCAGATCACTTTGACTCCAACATGGAAAGGAGAGAGCCTTTCCTTGAAAGGAAAGGAGAAACATGCAACTTCACAGGTTGGCTTTCAGCCCCTGTCACTTCCAAAGCACTAAATGTGACTAAAGGTGGCAAAGAAGCTGCTACCTTTAACAGAGCACTCAATCTGCAAGGGGAAACACAAAGCTTGCCTTTTTCAGGCAAGTGAGAGGGAGGAGGCTGGGGAAATAAAGATGAGGTGGTACTTAAATCTTTCACAGTTTTGCAGATTTTTTTTTTATCTTTATCACTTTAAATTGAGATCTGTATAAGCGTAAGTCATTTATTTCTTTCCCTTTCTCAGCCAGTATGAAATCAGGTATTTGAGCTGCTATTTTCATTTGCAGATACGGTAGCACTAAACCATACAGTATCAGTGCAGGTGAAATATTAATCTATGATTAGGTGGGAATTTTACGTCTGCTTTTTTTTTTTCCCCACTGCAATTTAGAAAAGTCATTTTTCCATGAATATTGTTGAAAACTTCTCTACTTAATGATCATTGTTAAAGTAGTGTGATGGAAACCCAGCACAAGGAGAGAATTGAATGAATGTATCAGCAATAATGATAATTAAAGTGTTCCTCTCCTTATACAGATTGATGAGAGCGAATGCTATCCGCTAGGAAGGAACACAAAAAAGCCCTGTAGTATGGAAATTTAATCCTAGCAAACCGCAGCCTGCTTAAAAGTGTTTGAGAGGGAGTTAGTTGTTTTATTATAGAAAATATGTTCCATTAGTAACTTTGCTTTCTAAGCGTTTAATGGTATATCAAGGTAAAACTTGTTTTATAGGATCTACTTGCTGTTGTCCTTTAATGGAAAAAAGAAACAAGTGGAGAATGCAACTGTGAATTGAAAGGGGGAAGGCTAATAACCATATGGATTTTTAAGCCTAAAAGGAGCAATTATATCTTCCAATCTGACAGTATAACATAGGCTTTTGTGTTCCATTCTGCTTAACACATAATGCACAGAGGCAGTGTGGACACACACCTTAGCCTACTTTCTGTATGAAATGGATTGAAACTGCCTTACCAAAGTGCTTTTTTTGCGAGCACAAAGGAAAATGCAAACTATTCACCCAAAATAAAGCAAGCAGCTGGGAAAGGGAAGTCACTTCCTTATTATTGAGTCACATATTACTCTGTGGGTTGTTTCATTTATGTTACCATAACATTAAAATGGGTTATTGTTGCTAGAATACAGGTTTTCTATCATTCCAAATTCCTTACAAATAAAATGTCCTGAGACAGCAGAGAAGTTTTTGCATCTACAGTCTTGTGGTTTTGGTATGCTTGAAGTGCAAAGGGACTTGCACGTTTTTAATGGGTATATCCCTAAATCTTCACTTGGAGCTTCAAGTAATATTTGATGTTTCTCAATAGGATCAGAATGTGTAGGTGAATCTTTACAAACCTTTTTGTAGGTTAAATCATAATTGCATGTTTGTATTTATCCTCTTTCAACTGTGACATTCTGTCGACACTTTGAGTTTCAGGTTATGCTAGTGTATTTCTTGTCCCGGGAGTGCTTCCAGGTAATACTGTGCTATGTTTGAGAAGATCAATACTCTTGTTAGCTTGCAATATAAAATGTCCTGTTAAACAGCCCTTAGGCTAATTAAAAAGCAAATGAAAGTGAGGTGTAGTCTGCAAAGAGGTTGGGGATTATTGAAATTTTCTGCTATAAATGTAATTGAATCTGAAGAATGATGTGAAGGTTGTTTTTACAGCCCTCAAATGTCAGAAGGAAATTGAATATTAGGAAACTTGATAATGATGATTAACTCTTTGTTAGTTAAAAATGGCAGGGAAAAGTAAAAAGGCACTAAATCCAAACACAGTAAGTTCTCAGTGCAGTAATATGGCTCTCACTACAGTCCTTAGAAAAAAACTGGAAGCTCATTCGGGATGAGGGGCTTGCTGTGATGGATAAAAAAAGAAGCCTCTTCTTACCTGAAGATGAGAATCTACGAGAAAAGGGAGATTGGAGTCAGTTTACCTTATGGCAGCAAGGTAAGACGATTGATAATTCTTCTTCTACTTCACTCTCTGAGGTTAATATCTTATAATAAGGAATAATAATGTTATTTTTTCCAGAATCATTTTTTTCTAATCACTGAATCTGTTATTTAAGTCTGTGAAAGAAGGGAGCTAACAAAACAGTGTCTGGGACTGCAGCAACAGTGAGCAGGAATCCTTTATTCTAAACCTCCTGGCCCCAAACACTTCTAAGAACCCCTTGAGACAATATTCACCTCTTGGCAAGGTTGCCCAAATTGTACATGGTAATGCATAGCACAGGTCAGCCCGAGGGAAGGCAGGAGAGTGAGAGAGGATGGATCCTTAATATTGGGTTGCCAGCTAGGTGAGACTCTGCCATTCAGAAACTGTATGAAGAAAAGAATATGAGCTTTAATAAGCCTGCTGCTCGGTCCCTGAGCTGTAAGCGGGGATCCCATTTATTGGAATGTCCAGAACTCCTTATAGGACTTTGCATGTTAGAGTACTGAAAGATGAAATATTATAAGCATGTTATATCAAAATATAACTGTGATGTTGGTGGCATTTTTTAACTTTTTTCTTGTACGTCTTGATAAATGATCATTCTTGAGAACTGAAATTGAAGTTTATATGAAGTCTGCTCTTTCCACAAATAATTTAAAATCAAAGATATTGCAGGATGTAACAATAATATGCTAAGCATCAAGACTTCTGTTTTGTAAAGTGGGAATAATAATATTTCCTGTTTTTTTCATATCAGCTCCTTGACAGCTTTTTTTCTCTTCTACAATGTAGAAAACATAGGAATGTTTGTTTATTGCACTTACCAATACTCCAGTAATTATTTTCACTAGGAAGAAAAAATGAGAATTCTTGTAAAGGTGCTCCAAAAACATGTGCTTTACTGGAAAGATTCCCAGAAGCTACTGGTTGCAGAAGAGGGCAGGTATTTAGTAAACTTTTTTTTTTTTTAAACTTTCCTGCAAATTTTGCAGATAATGTTGAAAAATGTGTTCAGAAGGATGGATTTCCTTGTTATCTTTAAGGATGCCTCAGCCACACAATGAAGTTAATAAATAAAATATGCCCACTTTTAGCCCTCAGCAAATATGTGGCAAAACATGCTAGATGAAATCTTTCTATGGAATTTTTAATAGAACTATTTTATTTTGCATTTGCTGTGAGTCCAGAGCATGAAAATGGTTAGTTCTCACGGGTCAACTGTCAAGAAATAACTTACTAAATCACATCCAGAAGCAACCTGGGCTGAGTCGGTTATGACTCCCTCTGCTTTGATCAGGTGGTCAGTCTAGATCCTTCCTAAGCTTTTCCTGCTAGTATGCAGGAAAAAGCCCTTCTTAACATTCAGTCCCTCACCAGATTCAACTGCAGATGAGTTTTAGCTTTCCTGACCCCATCTTTACATGCTCAGAAAGTGTCTCCTGTGTCATCCATCCCTGCTTCCATCTATGCCTGAATTTAGTCCAGAGATCCGTGTTCATTCATGCAGATCATCCTTGCTAGGGTGGACCATTCTTGAGTTTCGAAGAGCTGATCCTTAAAAAACAGCTCTGCGTCCTTTCTTCAGCACTGATTTCACTGATTTCAATCCACACTTCAGCAGATTTTTCCAGGCAGATCCCTAAGTAGACCAAGTCTATTCTTTTGAAGTTCAGGGTTGCGAAGGAGCACAAGTTTTTTGTTGTTGTTGTTTTTTGTTTGTTTGTTTTGTGTTTTTCTTCTGATTCCTCCTCTCAGAAGGAATTCAGATCTGAACTCAGAATGCTGAATTTAACCGTATCATGATTGCTACAGTCAAGGCTGCCTGCAGCCTTTGTATCCCCATTGCCCTTTGAGAGAGCCTGCCTGCTGGTCCTTTTGGTTAGTCCCCATTTGGACTTGGGCTGCATTTAGTCATGGTCCATCCCTTTAAATGACAAGCGCATCTACGCATGATTCCACATGAACAAAGATATTTTTCTGCTTGTAGTTAGGAGCTAATTGTTTGCAGGTTGCAATTAATCGTGATGGTTTTAAACCAAATTGAAACGTGTCCTTGCACAGCGCTCTCTCTCACACACATCACACGCGCGCACACACACACGCACACACCCCCACAAACACCACACCATTTGCAGTGTTGAATGCCTTTGGGAGAAGAGTTGTTGCTGAGACTCTAGCACCAAGTGGTGCTGCACTCTTGGTCTCATCCTCGATGAGAGGTTTGGTTCTGGACAGAAAACTGGTAGAAGTAACGTCACTGAAGGCTGCTGTTCCCTTTTGCAGATCAAGTATTCTGTCATGCATCCAGGGACTCACGTCTGGCCTCACACAGGGCCCACCAACTGTAGACTAAGGATGCATTTGGGCTTGGTGATACCTAAAGAAGGCTGCAGAATTCGATGTGCCCAAGACAACAGGTGAGGTGTTTTATTTTGTTTCTTTCTCAGCAGCACCCTCTTTCCGAAACCTGAAAAGAGGTTGGAATGCATATACCGATCAGGAGATATAATATGTGTAATATTGCACCCTAAATCTGGGACCAAATGCATAAATGTTAGTTACCAAGCAGCATTTATCCAGTAGTTATCAAGTAACATTTGGAGACAAAACTGCTTTTCTCACCTATGGTTTGGAAGGAATACAGTTTTTTGTCTAGTTTCTATGTTTACTTTTACAATGTCCGTCTAATATACTCACCAACATCCTTTATCTGTTTTTTTTTTTATTTTTTGGCCTAGAATTCTGTCCAGCAGAAGTTGAGATTAAGCTATACCTATGTTTTCATCACTAGGACAGCAGAATATTATCACCTTTTCCACAGAGGTCTTATTCCTAGAGAGTATTATTTTTTAAATATATTCTAGTTGAGTCTGATTTACAGCTATGATGGTTTTGGCCCAATGAGTTACACTGGTAGCAAGTTTCCCTAAAGTGCATTTTGAGTAAGAATTTTTACCCCTTAGGGAAGAATTATGCAGACTTGAAACCCATTTTGCCTTTGTTTGCTCAGTGCAAAAAGCAAAACAAAATGCAAAGACCTGGCCATGTAAGTCAGGGAGTATGCTCTCCCGGGAAATATGAGGAAATCCCAAACTTGAGAATGTGATAGGTGTTTATGTGATATTATTATCCAGAAAAAAATACAGTATTATCTATATTACTGTTTGCTTACTGACTTAATTTTCTGAAACGTATGTGGAGTTCTCATGCTTTACATATATATATGTATGTATGTATATTTATGTATATGTATATGTATGTATATTTACACATATATATTTACACATGTATAGGTACATTTTTGAAAGATCCTGTGTCTTGCCTGAATACACCTGAGTGCTACAAAATTTAGATTTGGATTCTTTTCATTATATTATTGTACAGATATGTTTGATATTGAGAAACGAAATAGCAGTCATGACTTCAATAGATGGAGAGGATTTCTTCATGACATTCGAAAGCCACTGGAACTGGAAATTTTTAGAATTTTTGAGAAGTATGCAATTATTAATAACCAAGAGGATGTCACTACAGAGGAGTTAGGACTCCTCCCAACATACAGCTTATTTAATGATCTGTCTTACAACTATTACCGAGTAATGTCTTACTTGGTCTGTGTTATAGTCTAAGCCGTGACGAACAGGTTCGCTTCCAGCATTCCAACTCAGTATCGCAAATAAGTTAATGGTAGACATTTGAATGGAAGGAGGAGTAGCTAAAGGGCTTAGAGGACAAACAGCAAGATGCAGAGTCTTTCCCATTTGGGTCATTATTGTGAATTCTGGTCAGCGGTGACTGCAAAGCGTTACCATCCGATGGCTGCGCGATGACCAAGCGGTGGCTTTGCTCCCCTTTCAAGGGAGCAGGTGCTCGCAACTCACCATCCATTATTCTGGCTGACACTCTTATTTGTCTTAGTCTGAACAGAGGGGATGTTGGTATGGAAAATGAACTATCCCTCCTTTGGTTCCAACACTCCCTCAGCAGCAGGGATGCAGCCGGGCAGAGTGGAGAAATGCCTGTTGCTGCTGGTGGGCAGGCAGAGCACTTCAGACCCTGGGCTGTTGGGTCTGGCTCGTCCTGATGCATCAAACCCACGCGTTAAAATGTTAATCTGAGAGCTGACTTTGGCGTGTGCTGGTGTGTGTTCATTTCAGTTGACTTTGGCAAGAACTATGCACAAAGAATCAAAGATGGGATTTTCCTTGAGAACATTCAAAGAATGTCTACAAATGAAAATTATTTAATTTTTTATATCCCCTCCCCCATGCAAGTGGAGGCGTGTGAGTTCCTGTGGGAAGAAATGATCATATGAAGAAATATCTGGAGCCTTTTCAGTTCCTCTCCTCATGACTCAGAGCAGTAATATGTTAGTGGTTTTAATTATGAGCGCTGGCTCAAATTTAAAGGAGAGTGTATTGGCGATCAGAGCTTTGACTCCATCCTTGGTGGCTTCACGTCCTGCTGCTGCATGTGCAAAACAAAGCATGGAAGTAATGAGAATATTGTGCTGAGCCCCACACTGTGCAGTCAGTGGGGGTGTTTGGAGGAGCAATTTTACTATGCAGCTCATCCGCTGGTAGGCAGCTTGGCTCTCTAGTACTGTTTTACTCATTTAATTGCAGGAGAGTCTTTTTGAAAATACAGAGTTATCATCCTGCACAGAGGTTAGTCTAAAATTCCGCCTGTAGCAGGTTAACTAAAAGCCATACAGGTGATACAGATCTCTGCCTCCAAGTGGCTAAGCACCCTGTCAGAATAATGTTGTCCCTTTGTCCCACTGTGGAGTGTTTTACAAACAATGAAGGTGTTTGGAAAATATCTTTTTGCATTCTAATAATGGGTTTTGTAATTGCTCTAAAAGGGACAGTAGTCAAAAATCAACTTTATGACTTTTTCTTTGTTGTGCAAAATAGTCCATTCTGTTATGATGCAAATGACAGGTCCTATTTTAACCTCTTAAGCTAATTCATCTGGATGATTAGAGGTTTTATTGTCCTTAACTGAATAATGCTTTCAGGTTATTTAATGCAGGTCTTTTCAGACTTGATTTAATAATAATAATAAAAAAAAAGTTAGCTTGATTCTTTACCACATTATACCATTGTAGATGGTTGCCTCCTTTTCACTTGAATAATACTGATGTAGGTTTAGAGCTTGTAACTTTAGAGCTGCAGTAAGAACTTAAGCCTGTATAACTTTTCTTTGTTTACCACATAGCTGATATAGTAGCAGAAAGAAATACAAGATCGTACTTAAAACTTGCTAATGGCTAATTATGTAGCCCTTTAAGACTGCTGTTCACCTGTCAGCTAGGGTGACTTTTCTCACTATGCTATGCTTGTTGGTTTATCTATTCTCACTTAAAGTATAATTTGGAGATTGTGTTTCCATTTCTTTTCAGAACACACAACACAACTCCATAAATTTTGATGGTTAATGTTTTTCTTTTATTAAGTTAAAAATTCAAGAATATTTAGAAGTCCAAATATCATTTTCAACCCCTTTCTGAAATAAGAAAATTTCTTTTTTATGTGGAGGAACTCAATGGAATGAGCTAAGAAATGTGTGTCCTTGTATAATGGCAAGTTTTTTTCATCATCACTACTGCTTACAACTCTTAATCTGCTTTAAAGGAAGCCATTCTGTGGATTGCCTTTCTTCCTTGGGGAGTCTGTTAAAAAACTTAATTATGTGATAATTGTAGAGTGGCTTTAGGAAACAACATCTCATTGACTGTTAGTTATTACCCCTTCAGGTGAGACAGGACGAATAAGCAGATGCATTCTTCTAGCCTGCTGCAATGCAAAAGGAATTTGATTTGCTTATTCCACCGCCTGACTTCACCATAGACAAACCATGTACTGCAGAATCAGTTACTGTGTCTAATTGCAGTAGGTGAGTTTGAGCATCTCAAAGGCAGCAACAAATGTCTAAAGCAGTGGCTTTTTACAGTGGTCTGGCTGATCACTAGTAATCACTGATACTGATTTTTTTGCAGTATCAAGCTTACAGTTAAAAGTCCTTTAAAAATTCTGTGTCAAGATCTCAACAGGCTGGAGAAATGGGCAAACCAAAATATCCTAAAGTTCAGCAGGGAAAAATGAGAATCGGTACACTTGTAACATGATAAATAACCCTTTGCAACAGCATGGGCTGGGTGATGCCTTCCTAGAAAGCAGCTGTACAGTGAAGGACTAGGGGTCCTGGTGTACAACTAGCTGAACACGAGTTAGTAGTGTGTTCTTGTGATGATGAAGACTAAACATGGGCAGCAGAAGCCTCAGGGAAGCAATTTTCCCCCTCTCTTCAGCATTCAAAGCATTGCATCTGGAGTACTGTGTCAAGTTCAGGGCCTCTCTGATACAAGACAGGTATTGATAAACTAGAGTATCCCTAGTGGAGGACTAAAACTAAAGTGGTGATTAGGAGCGTGTGATGTATGAGAAGAGACTGAGAAAGCTGGTTAGGAGTCTTAAAAAAAAAAAAAAAAAAGGACAAGGACTGGCAGTGTGCAGTCACAGGCTGAGAGGCAATGGACAAAATTGGCAGCAAAGGAAGTTCCATCTACATAGAAGAAAAAGTCACTCTCAGGGAGGTTGGTCAAACACTGGAACAGGTTTCCTGGAGAAATAGTGGAATCTCCATCCGTGCAGATGTTCAGAACTAGACAAGAAGCTGAGATGCCTGATTAACCTCGAAGAAATCTAATTCCACAACTGCAAAGCCCTGCTTTGAGCAGAAGTTTGAATAAGGTGACCTCCTGATGTTTTTTTCCAACCTAAATTACTCTGTGATTTTACACTTAATATAACTGAAAGGAATAGAGATTCTTCCAACCATTAATACTAATACATTGCTTCTTGCCATTTCCTTCAAATCTGGACATTTTGTTAATTTTCCAAGCAACAGTGCTGCTCAGAAGCAAGTCAGTTTGAATAAGTTATGTACATCTCTTTTTGTGCCTAGCAAAGGTATTTAATAGAAATCTTGGAAAAATTCCACTGCCAAAACTTAGCTTTCTGTGTAGCAATGCTTCAAGCCACAGGCACTGGTCCAGTGATGGCCCAAGCAGTGCTTGGCAGGCAGAGGGGTTTGTTGCGTGGACTTACTCTTTGAGTTCAGCTTTAACAGTGTAATGGTCCCAACGTACAGAATACCACTGCAGCCTTCCTCTGAAGAAAAATCTCTACTTTGACCAGATTTATGTGATAAGACTGTTCAAATTCACTAAAATTGTAAAGCATAATCAGGGCTTAATTCTATTCTTCTTATTTTTGAAAAAAGCAAAGTGGTTTAATCTTGTTAATTTCCAGACCATATTGCTGGTCTTGTTCCCCCAGTTTCTCGTTATATATGTATTTGATTAGAGAAGGAGAAGCCTAGCAATATTATTCCAATGAGCCTGACAACGCTCTCTGCTTATTAGACTCCAATCCTTAGAGTATATAAATAACAGATATTGCAAATGTCTGAATATGTGTATGGGCACATGTGGCCATAACTATGCAGAGTGAGAGAAAACAATTTCTCAGTAATATGAAGGTCCATTAGACTGATCTTTCTGCAGTTTATTTCACTTAATACTCTAATCTGTTCTTACTAGATAGTAAGATCCTGACTGTGCAACACACAGTGTTTAAATAATTCTCATATATAAAAGAGCATCTTCAGAGCTGATGTATAGGTAGACAAGTGCCCACTCCACGGTACTTCAAATATTATTCTAAAGGATGTTGTTTTCTGTTGCAGAACCTGGGAAGAAGGGAAAGTCCTTATCTTTGATGACTCTTTTGAACATGAAGTGTGGCAGGATGCTGAAAGTTATCGCCTGATATTCATTGTTGACGTGTGGCACCCGGAGCTAACGGCGCAGCAGAGACGCACGCTTCCTGCTATTTAAGGAGCTGCTTCTGATGTGAAGAACAGAGGAGCTTTGGAGGATGCAGATAGGATCACAGAGGATTAACTTGTCCGGCATATGGAAAATACCAGTATTTTAAGGATTAGAAGATATAAAAAAGACATTCCTGAGTGACAAAGGACTTAAAAATAATTTTAACAAGTTATTTTGTTTCATACTGATTCAGCACTGATATGATAGTATTGTTTTGCTGGCTGCAAGTTCCAAAACACTCTTGTTAGCCTGAGAGCAACAGGTCTGGATTTTCAAGCTGTGGAATGTGCAGATGTTTTTGTCGTGCCCGTGTGATCTGTACAAAAAGAACTGGTCAGTCACAGGTCTGGCCATGTTCAGATACCAGATTTGCAATCCTTCTGGAAATACTTGCCAGGATTTTATCTCTTTTGCCAATGTGCATAATATTTATAAACATATGCACACAGTCGACTTTGAAAATCAGTTATGCAGTTGTAATGTTAACTGCTTTAGGCTTAAAACATGTCCATATATTATCAACTGTGGATAATGTGAATGGGTTGTGTGTTTCTGTATTTTTCTACTTGAGTAACAGTATTTTTCTATCATAATTATAAATAGATTTTCAGCTTTAATCAACCACTATTTTTAAAAAACAATATAGGTATGAGTGCTTCTCTAGGTATTAGCAAAAGTACTGTATATGAGTAGATTTCGTTTTTGCCGAATGTGGCCTTGTCTTGCCTTCCTGGAAATGCAATCAGAAACTTGCATTATCAGCTTTCTAGTGAAGTTTTCTTTTTCTAAAACAAAACAGTTCTCTTAGTTAGCAGGCAACCTTCAGTTTAGAATGTGATTTTGGAAGATGCTAAGCAAAAGTGACAACTGTAGATGCAGATCTGAAGCTACCTGAGAGAACTGAGGATTTTATGGCGAGCTGCTGTTCCTCCTATCTTTGCTACGGTTTGTGTTATGGTAACCCTTTTCTGGCCAGCCTGACTTTGAGGCATCTCCTTTCAGGGGCTCTTTCTAGGCTGACCTTGGGAGGTTGTTCAAAGGAAGGAAAAAAAAAAAAAAAAGTAGGAAGAATTTCTTGAGCTAAGAGCAGACAAACAAGGTCCAGTTTGGATTCCTGCTAGGGTGCAGAGCAGAAAAAGAGCTCAAGAAGCTTTTCTCGATGTCTTAGCTTGTATTCAGCTGCCAGCATCCTGCAGAGTGGTATAATGATCCCTTAAATGATCTAACAGTGTGCTTGCTGTCTTGAAATGTATGAGAAAATTCTGAAGTAATTTTATCCTAGCACGGTTTACAGTATACTTTGTATTTACTCTCTTGGTAAAATGGCCTTAATTTCAAGAAAGAAATCTGCTTGGACATGTAAGCAGTTTTCTGGCCTTTGGGCGCTGTGCTGTTTTGTGAGAGACAGAGGGCACAGGCCCCTCAGCCGTTAACACTAACAGGGAAGAGAGACCCGAGGTTGCACTGAGGAAGTTTATGGCAGGCTCTTACCCACCCTTGTGCCAAAGCAGCCGCATGTGGATGGGCATGAGGAGCATTGCCCGGTCTGCAGCACCCTAACTAGGGCGCCAAGCAAGGAGCTGGAGGAGTTCCCTACAGTCTCTGCAGCTTTGGCTTTGTTGTTCAAAAAGCTCTGAATTGTCAGTAATTCCGTGCTGCTAAGGAACTACATCATGGTGCCTGAGTATCATACACACTGCGGCATGTACTACAGAGCAGAAAACATCACGTTTGCTGACGCAAAATGCAGATAAGAGCCTTGCATTCCCATAAACTAAATGTATTTTATTAAGTAATTAAATCTTGTAATGCCACAGAACACCTGGTAATTGTGCCATAAATTGCTGTAACTAGTTTCTGGAGGTGTGCACTTTAATTTCCTTTTTGACTGTTAAAAATAAATAAGACAGTCTTATAAACCTCTCTGATCAAGAGTCAGTTTTAGATAGCTAAGATAATAAGGCTTTAATGTGTTGTCTCTATCAAAAATTACATTGAAATCATCATCTGCCAAAAGGAACAAGTCATACAGTTAATTGTCATGAGAACTGTAAAGATTTACATGAGTTTTGAAAATATAAAAATACCTTTGGAAAGCTTTAGGAGATATGTATGCAAAACTGGAAAAAGGGTACTTACTGCTCGTGGTAAAAAATAAGTTTAGTCAGAGATTGTGTTTTGTATCTCTGTAAAGCGATCAAGCAGTACAAATTATGATTTATTTTGTAATTCTGTAAAACAAAGACATGGTTTGTAAAGAATGAATCAAAATGTTTAAATCAAAATGTATGTCTTAGGAATATTTGTATTAATAATGCTTTGTAGTTACTATAGCTCACACTAAACACTAGAAAAGTAGTGGTAAACATTTTGAAGCTTTATTTATAAAAATCTCATGCTGTGCTTCAGATTGTTTTGCTGTGCCTCTGAAGTCTTCTACTTCATCTTTTCAGATTGCAACTGGCAAATAGATCAAAGCAATCTGTGTGTGCCAGGAGTGTGCCAGGGTAGTATGTTTATTAAATTGTGTAGCGACATATTGGGCATTTAAAATCTTAAATGCCTTGAATGTGACAAGGTGGATTATGAATAGCTCCTTTAACACTGAAGTGATTCTACTCTATGCTTACCTGTCAAGAAACTGACAGCATATTTTTGTTAGATACAGTTATTGCTTTAGCTCTATATTTTGTGAGGATACATAGCACACTACAGCCATTATTCTGCAAGTGGTATATCATTTTAGGTATTTTTGTTTGTCAACCAGTATTCCATCCTGAAAAAAGTATTTCAACATTGGAAATGTCAATGCAATAAATGAATGAAATTGCCTTTTTAAATGGCTAATGATCTTAATTTAAATACCTTGTTCTTCAGATTTATTTATGGTGGGCAACTGTCAGAAGGGTGATATAGTCTCCTATTTGTAAGATCTAGTCAAGGTGTTAGGATTTGGGCTCCTTCCTGCCTTCCCACTTGAAAATCCCACTTGAAAAAACAGTGGATGTACCAGATAGTCACAAAGATTCCCATTTAAGATTGTGCCATCTCTTGATTACATCTTGGACCAGTATTTTTGTGAGCGCAGCCTTCCCATGGGAGTAGAGGTAAGTGTGCTAACAGAGAAAACTGCAAACCCAATTTTCTCTTCATTAATGCTGCAGTTTCATGTTTTGTTGTTGTTTTTCTTTAAGCAAGTTCTCTGGGGCAAATCCTTATTTCTATGAGACTTCATGAGCCTTGGGTAGGAAAAGGAGTTGAGTCCTGTTCCCAAGAGTAGACACCCTAATCTACTGCAATAGGTGTTGGTGCTAGGAGAAGGGGAATGGAAGAAACCCCCCAAATAAATAGGACCAGTTATCTTATTTGTTTAATGTTTCTGCAAGCTTCTAAGTGTCTGCCTCTTCTAGTGAATTCTGTGTTTCTCTGATGGAAACGTCCACTGTCCTAAGGACTTGCTCTGTATCATGGAGCCAGCGTTTGTATCAATAACATGCTGCTGTGGAAGAAGTTTATCCTAAATTAAGTTATTCTGTACTAATACCAGTAGGTAAATCCCCTATGTGTTAAATGGCAAAATGTCCTTTCTCCTCAGTGGAGACATAAAATGTTGTGATAGACGAAGGAAACATTTTGTTACCCCATTCACAAGGGCTGACCGTGTCCTACTGAGCTATATGGTCACCTCAATGTGTCTCACTTAGGAATTCAGTAGTGTTCCAGAGACATATTAAATACCATTATGGTTCCCATTATCATCTTGTTTCATACACACACACATACACACACACACACACACATATATATATGGTTTATGCTACTTCCTTTGTCATGTTGATGCCAACTACTTGCTCTAATGATTGCCAATGTATGACAAATTGAAGACAAAAATGGTGTGTACAGTTTTTTTTTTTTTTTAACTGTTTTAGGAAATAAAGTCACTGCACATGCAATTTGATAACAGTTTTTCTTTATTTAATCTGGTTTCCATTTCAATGAAGATGTGGGACTCCTTTTGCAGGTAGAGCAAATAGAGAAAAAACAAACTGATCTTTGGCATTTCAGTTCTTCCATTCTTTCATATTTGCTTTCATATTTCTTTCTAGCAGAAGCTTGTACTAAATAATTAATTCTAAGTTTTCCTTTTCCATTTTAACCAAAGCCCCCATCTGCAATCAGCCTACGCCTCCGGCTACACCTTCCCCTGACTGCAGGAGGGAAGAGGTTTAAATGGCTCTGCGGAGCTTTCCGTTGCAGTTGTGACCTAAATGAAATAATCTGGATTGAACCATTAATCACCGATGAGTGTGTCCAATGAGTCTCCCTACAACCCCTCTTCACACGCGCGCACGAACACCCAGACACACGCGCACACACGCGTCTCACTAACAGGCTATGGAGTAGCTACGGAGTAGCCTGTGGAAAAACACATCGTTACAATTAAATAATTGCATTTCAAATTGTGTGTGTCTGCTGCCGACACAGCTCATTACATTTAGCTGACAGTTTTATAAGGGCTTCAAAAGTCAAGAATATTTTTTGCTGGGTCCTGAGGGAAGTGACCCCTATAAGCAGAGTGTATGATGCAATCAGTGTGCTGTGTTCAATGCCCTTATGTTGGCATTTTTGTCGTTGTTATTAAAAAGGAAGCCCAAATCTTTCCATAAGACTAAAGCACACTGGAGATGCTGTTATTTCTGCTCTCTGTGTTACATTAAACTGTTGATTCCAGAGCACAGTTTAAATTTGAGATGCTTTTCTTTAAAATGCATTTAACCACAGCTTCTGTAAAACTGATTATCCCTGCTGGAGGTCTCAGGAAAACCTCTACTGACACCCTGGGTTCTTTAAACAAAAAATTTATTCCCATCATTTCCAATATTGCAATGCTATAAATCAGAAAAAAAGAAGAAACAAGTTCTTTGCTTATGGATAGACTCCTGCTTTGCATCCAGCGTCGATCGAAATGTCTCCGTTTTTGTTCAGCTTTGGCCGCGTGGACAGATGGCTGATGGCAGGTGTTACTCGGTCTAGAAAAACGAAGGAGGACGAGTTTCCAAGCAAGACGAGCGTGTGCGTGTGTGTGTGCAAAGTGTGTCGCGTGCTCTGTGAGTTTCTGGTACCGTGGAAGTCTGTCAATGTAGCTGTGGGTG